GTAAAACTTTTTTACTTTTCAAACTATCTCCTGTACCCTGGCTCTTCTGTTATGTAGATATGTTTTAATCCAGTTGTACATTCTTCCATTTACTTTAAAGTTTCTCAATTTCTCCAAAAGCCCCTCCTTCCAAACCTTGTCAAAAGCTTTTCTTAAATCTATCCATGCCGCGAGTACCAGTTTCTTATTAACTTGAAAAGCATCCTCTATTTCTTGGGAGAGATATGTTGTCTGGTCTTCCGTAGAATAGAACTTTCTAAAGCCCGCCTGCTGTAGTGTAAGGATGTTTTCACTTTCAATGTACCACTGTAGTCTAAGTTTGGTGATGTGGGCCATTGTTTTGCAGTGACAGCTTGTGAGGCTGATCGGTCTGTAGTTGTAGGCATTGGAACCGTCTTTCCCAGGCTTTATGAGGGGTATCATAATTGCCTCTCTCCAGATCTAAGGTACATTTCCTGTTGCCTAGCAAGCATTAAATATCTGTACAAGTTTTATTTTGGCTACTGTTCCTAAGTTTTTGATCATTTCGTTAGATATACCATCTGCTCCTGGTGACTTCCGCATTTTCAGCTTTGAAATAGCCAACTCCAGTTCATTAAGTGTAATTGGCACCTCTAGCGCCTCTGATGTTATTTCTTTCTGAATTGTGTCTTTTCTTGAATTTCTTGTTTTTTTTTTCTCTGAAATGATTTCAGTGTCATCTAAAGCAAAAGTGTCTGCAAACAGGTTGGCTGTCTCTTTTCCGGTGACCATGTTTCCATCTTTCTGCAGCGTTTTCTTCAAGTTCCACCCTGTGTCCTCATCATTAACTCTTTCAGGCTCATGAATTTTGACAAACTTGGCCCACACTAGTTTCCCTTTACAAAAATGGCAGAGGGGTGGGTGTACAAGAAAGCCAATAGAAAATGTAATATACTTCTAATCCTAATAAAATTATATACATTTTTAAAGAGAAATGAATGTACATTTTGAATCTGATGATAAGTGTATGTTTAATATTTTTGGTGTTAATTTACAACAACAACATTTTACAAACAAATTCTTCACTTACCATGATTTTGCAGCCACACGAGTAGTGAATATCCAAATTTGACAACAAAACTTCAAAGTTTGTTCAATTTCCTAACAAATTCCAAAGTTATGATAAGTTTCTGGGTTAGTTTAGCATTTAGAGGCTCTTAGTTCTTACAGAGTGCTGAGGAAAATTTCAGAGAAAAAAATGGCAGAAAAATGAGCAATTATTACACACACGCTATTTACTATTTACTTTGTACAGTTATTTACTGACCGTAGCTGTGATGATTTCAATGTAGCTTAGCCATAGTATAGTACAGTCTTTTTGTTTAGAGCACTTTCCTTCTCTTACACCATAAATACAGTAGCAATGGGACATTGTCTGTGAAATAAACTCATCAGAGTCGCTAGATTCCAAACAGCTAATCGCCCAGCTTCACTGGTGAAAATGCACCATCTGAATCACTTTCCGAAAAATCTAAATTTTTATTATCATTATCAGAATTAAAAATATCTGACTAAAACAATTTCAGAGCTTCGGCCGCAGAAATACGCATTCTTCTTCTTCTTCTTCTTCTTTCGTTCGCCTGAAAAAAGTTATCTATATCAGCAGTTTTGTCTCTTGTATAAATTTCACTGTCATTGTTAGTTCATTCAGTGGTCCATAGAGTTTACGTTCCACTGTTGTTCTTTCTGGCCAAAAGGTTTGCCTTAATGTGTCAAAATCGGTGCAGTCCTGGAGTACATGCTCTGCGGTCTGGGGCACATTTCCACAGGTGCACATGGCTGATACACCTATCTTGAATTTTGTGTACATGTGGTTACGTAATCGGTTGTGCCCTGTTCTGAGGCGGAGGATAATGACTTGTTCTGGTCTGTCCATAATAAAGTAGTCGTCATGTGCTGGGGCTGGTGGTTTCCTGATCGATTTAATGATTCTTTTCTTTTGGTGGTATGTGACTGGTACATCTGGCTGCTCTTTTGTCGCACCTTCCCCTGCCAGTTGATCAGCTTTCTCATTTCCAGGCACTCCACAATGAGACGGTATCCACTGCATTACGACTCTTCGCTGAACGCTGAGTTGTGTCAGCAGTGTTTGCAATTCTGGTAGTTTCCTAGACTGGAGTGCTTCAAGTACTGATTTAGCATCTGTAAGCATTACCACATACTGTGAGCCAAGGTTGGTATTTAGCAGTTTCTCTGTAGCTATTTTGATAGCCTGGGTTTCTGCATCGTAGTTATGGCAGTACTTCCCGGTTGGTACGCTGGACTTATCCCTAGTACCATCTGGGAATTCGATGTACACTCCAGCACCACCATTTCTAACTGCACTTTCTGCGGACCCATCTGTATAGACTCTGACCCATTGTTCTTGTGGGTATTCTTCATCAATATAACTGAGGGTGGCCATTTTGCGTTGTACACTATCTTGCTCTTTCTTGTCAAATATCCCTTTCACATTTGTCTGGATTTGTACCATTAGTTTACATTTTTCTCTCCATGGGGTTTGTTCCGGAATACTTTTAAGTGGGCAGCCATATTCTGGAAGGTCAGGAGTTTGTCTACATATTCTTTTTGCTTGGTGTATAAAGCTGCTTCTTTTTAACCGTCCCAAGGCTAGATTCTTAAATCTATTTTTCATTGGGTGATCAGGCATACAGAGGAACTTTTCAACTTGTATTTGCAACTTTGTATCTCTGCGTTCTCTCAGTGCCTGTGATTTCCCAGCTTTCTCCATTTCTAATATGGGGGTTGATTTCATCCCTCCTGTGATGACTCTGAGCGCTTGATTTTGCACTTTGTCTAACTCCTTTAATGTGGTACTAGATTCTGAACACCATGCAGTTGACCCATATTCCAAGTGTGGAAGTATGCTTTGCTTGTATACTTTATTGAGTATTTTCCCATCTGCTCCCCATGTGGTTCCACTTAGTTTTCTTAGAATTGCTGTCTTCCTCCTGGCTTTGGTTGCTGCCTTGTTGATATGTTTTCTCCATGTCAACCTGTCATCAAATGTGACTCCTAGGTATGTGGGCTCTTTATCATCTCTCAGGGGTATTTTGTTTATTTTGATGGTGCCAGCTTTTTGCTTTGGGGAGAGGGTGAATAGTGTGGTGCTACATTTGTCTGTGTTGATGCTGACACACCATCTATTGGCCCATGCCTCTAGTGCATTTGTAGCCCGCTGTAGTGTTTTTGTGGCTATCGTTGCATGTTCATTGGTGCACCACAGTACCAGGTCGTCGGCATACATTGCCATTTTGATTCCATTTGGTATCTCAGCAACCAGATCGTTGATAAATAAAAGGAAAAGTGTGGGCGACAGGACACCACCTTGAGGGACGCCTTGTCGCAGTAGAACTTTTTTACTTTTAAAACCATCTACCTGTACCCGGGCTCTTCTGTTATGTAGATATGCTTTAATCCAATTGTACATTCTTCCATTTATTTTATAGTTTCTCAATTTCTTCAAAAGCCCCTCCTTCCAAACCTTATCAAAAGCTTTTCTTAAATCTATCCATGCCGCGAGTACCAGTTTCTTATCTTGAAAAGCATCCTCTATTTCTTGGGAGAGATATGTTGTCTGGTCTTCCGTAGAATAGAACTTTCTAAAGCCAGCCTGCTGTGGTGTAATGATGTTTTCACTTTCAATGTACCACTGTAGTCTGAGGTTGGTGATGCGCTCCATTGTTTTACAGAGACAACTTGTGAGGCTGATTGGTCTGTAGTTGGAGGCATTAGAACTGTCTTTCCCAGGCTTTATGAGGGGTATCATAATTGCCTCTCTCCAGATCTGTGGAACATTCCCTGTTGCCCAGCAAGCATTAAATATCTGCAAAAGCTTTATTTTGGCTACTTTTCCTAAGTTTCTGATCATTTCGTTTGATATACCATCTGCTCCTGGTGACTTCCGCAGTTTCAGCTTTGAAATGGCCAACTTCAGTTCATTAAGTGTAATTGGCACCTCTAGCGCCTCTGATGTTATTTCTTTCTGACTTCTAAATTGTGTCTTTTCTTGAATTCCGTGTTTTTTCTCTGAACTGATTTCAATGTCGTTATCTAAAGCAAAAGTGTCTGCAAATAGGTTGGCTGCCTCTTTTCCTGTGACCATGTTTCCATCTTTCTGCAGCGTGATCTTTGAGTTCCACCCTGTGTCCTCATCATTAATTTGTTTCACAAGCTTCCATAACTTTCTTGTGTCTTTTTCAAAGTTCAGCGACCTTGTTTTCTCCTGCCAGCTTTCCCTTCTAACCTGCAGCTTTGCCCTTACAAATTTTGCTTTTGCATGCTGGTAGTTATTGTGATGTTCTTGGTTTGGCCTGGTCTCTGCTATCTTTCTGGATGTTTCTACTTCGTTATGTAAATTTTCTAGCTCATTACTCCAGTATGGCTTATAATGCTTACGGGCACCTCTTGGTATTGATTCTCCTGCTGCCTTTAGTACGCATTTGTTAAATTCTTGAACTACTTTGTTTATATCCTGGTCTATGCTGAGACTTCCAAGCAGTATACTGGTACGGTGCTTGAACATTGTCCAGTCAGCCTTCTTGTAGTTCCACCTTGGCAGCGTACTAGTTTCTCTGACCTTCTCATTTTCTACATACAGGAAGACCGGTCGATGGTCACTGCCTCCCAGTTGATTTCCAACAACTCGTTTAATGTTCCATTCCAGATCTGGAGAGTGAAATGCTAGGTCTGGGGTAGTAGTGGTGTGCCACGACCTCGAGTAGAATGTGGGTGGATCAGTTGGCCTATTAATCAGAACAAGTCTGTTCTCATCCTGCCACTCCTCAAGTTTCTGTTGATAAAATGGTGAAAAGTTCTAGATAATTATAAAAATTGTTGGCTTTGCATTAAATGATACACTATTATTTTGTTTACAGATAATGTCCTGCCTCATTTTAAGGACATTGGGCAAAAATAAATTGCATTGTACGGCGGTGAATAATCTTGTCTGGAAGCAGAATGCTGAAAAAACTGTAACTATGGTGGGAAATGCTGCCAGATTGTACGCTACAGATGATGGATCAGGCAGTGTTAGCTGGGAGCAGGGTGATGAGGCAGCAGAACCTAAAGCAGGTGAGCTTTAGTTTTCAGCACGTCATCATCATCACCACCAACACCACCACCACCATCAGCATCATCGTCATCACTATCATCATCACCACCACCACCACTACCACCATTAGCATCATCATTGTCATCATCGTCATCACTACCGTCATCATCATCATCACCACCACCATCAGCATCATCACCACTACCATCATCATAAGCCATTAGCATCTTCGTTTCTTCTTCTTCGCATTCACCGGCTGTAAACTCTGGCAGAAAGTTTTGTTTGTTTGTCCGCTTCTGGACTGCAATCCTGTTTCAGAACCTGAGTGTTGCGTGTGCATCCATTTGAAAGATGTGACTCATTTGTGTGTAGACTGTTGGTTCCTTAACTCTCTGGCAGATGCACTCCGACTTCTAAGGAAGCTCCCAATTAGTCGACTCTTACGACATGTTTTTGAATAGGCAGTGGGTCTATTCTTGTTTTCCCTATAATAGGGCCCTGGAACTCACACAGGGAGCATCTTTGCTTGAAAGTGACTTGTCATGAGCCCTCAGTCTAGCTTAAAAAAAGGTTCTGGCCCAGTTTAATTGTCATAATTTTGGCTGCTTATGTTTGATGTCTTTGTGTCTTCTCTGAGGAGCAGCTGGCTGAGTGGTTTAAAAGGCAGGATTGTCAGACCAAGAAAATGATGGAGAGATAACGTCCAGACAGACCTGCGAAAACTTGGCGTCACCAACTGGAAAGAGAAGGCAAACCAGAGAGATGAGTGGAGGCGGGTGATATCTGCAGCAATTAACCTCAAGGACTTGGAATGCTAAAGAAGAAGAAGAAGAAGTTTTGAATCTGTGTTGTTATATTTTAAATTATATCAACAAAAACACAAAGTGGAACTGGTCATCTGTACACACTTTGAATAGTAGACGTTGTAGATAGAAAGTTTAAGGCAGCATTAAAACAAAACACATACACACTGATATAACTACTTTGTATCCTAATTCAAGAAGGAAAGGAAATATTTTGGCCATATCAAGTCTCATGGCTAATAGCAGAAGGCATGGTGCCAGGAAAGAGGGTCAGGGGCCAGCCAGCATAAAGACGGACAGGACATAAGTGCCACCTCTGGAAGGAAAATGGGATCTGGCAACAGACCTGCGTTTCTATCAGGCAGGCCCTGATGATAGCGACATTCTACAAAGGACCTTCTACTGATAATTGAATATCCAAATTTGTCTCATTAATTAAACAGCTGAAACAAATAGTAAGCAACAGTAGATCGCAGTGTGGGTCTCAAGATCCATTTTTGGGAGCAGGGGAAAAAAGAATAGATTCACTGCTGCTTAACAAGCAGAAGAAGAAGAAGAATATCTTTGATCACTCCTTATCTTCATTATTAGAAACTTCTATGTTTGCTTCTTATGTTTGTTTCTTATCTTTTGTAGAGAAGTACAAATCTCCATGGAAGCTGAGGAAAGAGAAGATGGAAGATGATGGCTCTGTGTCGGAAAATATAGTTCCACAACATACGGACATTCTTGTTGTTGGAGGAGGAGTCATTGGGTCTTCAGTGGCCTACTGGATCAAACAGCAGAGCCCAAAGTCCACAGTTACTGTGGTGGAGAGAGATCCTGTGGTAGGCCAATCTATGTCTGTAGTATTTGTATTCCCTCTTTAACTCTTTGAGTCCCAAGGAACGCATCATACGTTCATAAGTTACTGCCTAGACACCCAATGAACGCATGATGCGCCGATTTTACCTGTCTCTTGACTACCCCTTGGGCCTGTGATGCTAAACCCTCTGGGACTCGAAGAGTTAACACTCTATGACTTTATGAATATTTGCATGGTCTCATGAATATATGCATGACTTTTTAAAATTTGCATAAGTACATTACCGTTCACATGACTTTATTGTGTGACAAACACCTTTTGACAGTTAACCCTTTCATGAACTCTAAATATAAAATAAAAATCTTAACAAAATAACAATTTTTTGAGATCACTAATAATTTTGTTAAAATTTTATATCTAAATTCTCCATTGTAGGCTTCTTTTGAAGTCGGAATGCATCTGTCTGAGCGGCAAGGAACAACTAACTGCACACATATAAGCCAGTAAACGGATGTACACACAAAACTCAGGCCCTGGCGCAAAGCCAAATTCCAAATGGACAGCCAGGACTTTCCTAGAGAGCTTACAGCCAGTTAACAAAGAAGAAAGAAGAAAATTTCTCTACTGAGACTCTCAGCCATAAGCAGATAGAAAGGATGGAAAGGATACAGAACGAGACTATGCGCATTATACTTGGGTGTACAAAAGATACAGCATGCAGGGCTATGCGCTACCTTCTCGATTTTCCGACCATGGAAGACAGAATACAAATTTCCCGAGCTCGTGCCTACCTCACAGTCAAGGCAGACACACAACATCCATTACATAGCCAAATCAAGAAGATAAAAGGCAGCGGGTTAAAAAGAGGCAGATCGTGGATGGGCCAAGCTGAGGACATTATTTTACAGGTATGTTTACTTGAGGACATAAAACCTGGTGAAGAGTGAGTGCCTTCAGAGGGCTGTACACCTTTTTCTGTTTGCATTCAACTAGACAGAAAATGCAGACAACGGAGTCCGGCTGCTGTGGAAGCAGGAGTTCAAACCTTGATTTTCAAGAACGCTCCAGAGGGTGATGCTGTCATTTACACAGATGGTTCTGTAATCCGCCACGTTAGAAGCTCCTGGGCTTTCATGGCTGAGTTTTGAGGAAGAGTTGTGAAGGAAGATTCTGGAGCTTTTGCTGTAACTACAAGTAGTCTGACTATGGAGGTCATGGCTGTGACTAAAGCAGTAACATGGCTAGAGACACAGACTTTCACTGGGGCCTGCTTTCTCAGTGACTCGATGAGTATGCTCAGGAAGAAAGAGAAGGGCTGGGTCCGAAGGCAGTGGTTGGTGGCTCTACAGAAATCACGGCTGACAAGGATTAGTTTCATTTTCGTGCCTGGACATGTGGGGGTACAAGGAAACCAGCAAGCTGATTCGCTTGCAGGTGAGGCTACTGTGAAAGCTGGACAAGCCATGGAGCAGGCTGATATACTGAATGCGCTAAGAGAGTTAAGATGTTTGCGTGAACCAACTGAGAACTGTGAATCTGCAACCATGGTCAGACTGCAAGAACAACATGTTAAATGGGGTGTCGCCAAACAAGAACACTACTCAGGTAGCCAAAGAAAAATATTAAACCAACAGAACTGGTGTCATTAGCTGCTACACGCTGCAAGATTTACTGAGGATGGGATCCGAGCACTAATGGACTGAGTGGTTCGATGTTCAATGAGGATAATCTGTTAACTAACTAACTTCAAAGGCAGCCAAAATAATTAACTTCTTCCTTTCTTATGTCTGTTTCAGTACACAAGAGCAGCAAGCATGCTGTCCTGTGGGGGGATACGACACCAGTTTTCTGTACCAGAGAATGTCCAGTTGTCCCTGTACACCTCCGCCTTCTTGACAAACATCAAACAGCACCTTAGTGTACTAGGTAAGTCTGGCACTTTATGCAGTAGTTATTTTCTTCTTCTTCACATTCACCAGCTGTTAACTCCAGCAGTAAGTTCTGGTTGTTTCTCACCTCTGGACTAAGTCTAATTTCAGAACCTGAGTGTTGCTTGCACATCCGTTTTACAGATCTAACTTATTTGTGTGCAGACTGTTGGTCCCTAGCCTCTCAGGCAGATGGACTCAGACTTCAAAGGAAACCCCCAGTTAGTCGACTCTTACAAAATGCTTATAGCTGAGTCAAAGAGTCTGTTCTTGTTTTCTCCACAATGAGGCCCTGGAACCCAAATAGGGAATGCAGTAGTAATAAATCTGTTTTCTCTGCCTTTGTGGGTTCTGGGTCCCCATCATGGTAGGTGGGGCTGAGGGAATAGACCCACTATCCCCCCTAACCCCCATCACCCTACAGGCATGTTGTAAGTTGACTAATTAGGGATGTTTCCTTCAAGTGTATCTACCTGAGAGTCTAGGAACCAACAGTCTGTATTCAAATAAGACATCTGTAAAATGGATAGGCATGCAAAACTCAGGCTCTGGAACAAGACTAAACTCCAGGAGTGACTTGAATGCCAGTTGGTTTATAAAATATAAGTCTAGCCCTATATACCCAGTACGCCTGAATGCACGGAAAAGGGTCCTTTACTTTTACTTACTATGTCACTGGGACCGTAAGAGATTAAATGTAGCTCAATGTGAACACCCCTCTCCAGGAACCCTAGTATAGAGTATCTAAAGATGAAACAAGGATCAGAGGGGAAAACACATCCGGCTTCCAAAAACAAAATTTATAACCAGTGCCAGTTGGCTTACACTGGCCGAACGGAGAGACAACTTGAAAACAAATCAAGAGGAAGGAACCGAGTTCTTCTGTAGGACTTCATTTGCTTGATTCCTGACATGTAATTGACAAGGACACTGCTTTCCATGTTGTTTACCACACAACTGAACAAGTAAATGCTGAAACTAGCTGAAGCTTTAACAATAAAAATGAGTTCTGCCCCATGTAAACAGAATGATTTCATTATAAATTTGAAGTTGCCCTGGACAGGGTATCGAGAGAGATCATGCGATGCGTATTTCATTGGAACTAATTCAGTTTTTGTGCTTCATATCTTGATGGGACTCTGCAGTAATGCAGCTGATGAGATGCAGCGAAATATGCTTGGCAGTATAAATTATATATATATGAAATATTATGTCAAGTCATAAAATAGTTAATCCGAAAAATTCGCTACTGAACTTTTTTCACTGACCTCTGTCCAATTTCAGATGAAAGTCTTCCAGATGTTCAGTTCAACAACCATGGGTACCTCTTCCTGGCTCAACCCCAAGGGGCAGAGCAACTAGCCAAGAATGTAGCCATGCAGCGGTGAGAAGAAACTAGTCACAGTTCTCATTTAGTTTGCATGATAAGAAACTTGCAGAGGTGTTAACAGTATGATAGTAATATAACATGCAAAAAAAATTTTCAATAGAGATTCCATAAAAAACCCAGAAATCATGTTTGTTCGCATCTTCTTCTTCTTCTTCGATCCTTCTGTCAGAAAACTTATATCAGGAGGCCGGTAGCCTTTATGAAAGCTATCGTGCAATCCATATCCTCTTGTGTACCATACAGTTTTGTCTTCATTGTGGTTGGAACAGGCCAGATTGCGTCTCTGTTGTCAGCATACAGTTGACAGTGTTGGAGCACATGCTCAGCATTTTCGGGTGCCACGCTGCAGGGACACGTCTCCGTATTTCCTACACCGAAAAATTTGAACATATGTTGACGAAATCTGTTGTGCCCTGTCCTTAGTCTGAATATAATAGACTGTCCCTCTCTAGAGAGGCGATGAAGTGAGTCTTGGGGAGAGAATCTGGTGTGGGTATCCAGCCACCTTTCTTGGATACTAGATTGTATTAGTGTTTTCATCTCTTGGTGGGTTAAGTCGCTATTTGGTTGTACCATGTCACTGCCGCTTCTGGCCAATCTGTCCGCTATTTCATTGCCTTCCAAGCCACAGTGACCTGGAATCCACTGCAGTACAGATTGTTCTACTGAGGAGCCTAAGTAAATCAGCTGTTGCGTCAAGTCTACAAACTGAGTGTCTTTTGGGTTAACAATTGCTTGTAGAACTGACATAGCATCAGTCAGAAAGACCACTCTGCTATATTTGCTGTGCTGTTGTCCATTCAGGAAAGAACATGCTGCTAGAAGTGCTTCTGCCTCTGCTCTGTAATTGGAGGAATATGAACCTGTTGGTACAGCCTGGTTGATTTTTAAACCATTTGGGCATTCTATGTATATTCCTCATCCTCCGTCTCTTACTGCTCTCTTGGCTGAACCATCTGTATACACTCGAATCCAACTCTGGTGTGGGTAAAGTCTATTGATCTCTCTTTCTGTAGTTGATTTCATATCAGTGCTGCTCATTGATGATTTGGAGGAGACCCCTGTTACAGTGGTTCTGACTGTTGGTAGGCTATCCCTAAGCCAAGCGGGGCAGTCGTTGTAAGGTTTAAGTGGAACATTTGGTATTATGGGAGGGAGTTTAAGGACAGCGAGCTTGGCATTTGCGTTCTTAATAAAGCAAGTTCTCTTTTGTCTAGCCTTCTGGGGTTTCTGTAGTCGGCTGTACATGGGTTGTTCTTGAAAGTGGTGGTATTTGGAGAGCTGGGTGAGGATCTTTGTGTCTCTCCTATCTTCCAGATTATGGAGACCAGTAATTGTTTCCATATCTGATATGGGCGTGGAGCGCATTGCCCCTGTCATAATACGGAGAGCATGGTTTTGGATCTTTGAGACTTTCTGAAAATTTGATTTAGCTGCTGTGCCCCAAGCAGCTATTCCATATTCTAGTGTTGGCCTCACATAGCCTGTATAGGTCCTCTTAAGGACATTGAGGTTTGCCCCCCAGTCTGTTCCAGCTAACTTCCTCATCAGTTGTGTTCTCTTGAGTCCCTTGCTCTGTGTCTTTTCTATCTGTTTTCTCCATGTGAGTCTTGAGTCAAAGGTTACTCCTAAATATGACGGTGAGTCATCATGTATCAGTGCCTGGCTGCCATATCTAAGTGAAACTTTCTGGGGTTTGGTAGAGAGACTGAAAATGGTGTGTGTGGTTTTGGCCCCATTTACAGGCATGTACCAGCTATTGGACCACCTCTCTAGAGTTCCGAGGGATTCTTGAAGCCTTGTCTGTGCTTTTTCAGTGTCCTCCTCTGAACTCAGTAGCGCCAGATCATCGGCATACATAACGGCTTGAACTCCATTACAGAGGGTTGATTTTATGTCGTTAATGTAAACTAGGAAAAGAATTGGGGACAGAACTCCGCCTTGTGGAACTCCATGTGTCATTGAGACTGATCTGCTCCTTGAACCCTGTATCTTGACTCTTGCAGATCGATTTTCAAGATATTTTACGATCCACCCAAGCATGTGATGGGATATTCCACTTTCAAGTAGCTTTTGTTTCAGCCCATTTTTCCACACTCTGTCGAAGGCCTTTTCCATATCCACCCAAACTGCAATAGTGTGCTTTTTTTTCCTGAAATGCATCTTCAATGTGTTGAGCAATAAATGTAATTTGGTCTTCTGTTGATCTACAACGTCGAAAACCTGCCTGTTCCTCCATTAGTTTGACGTTTTTCTCTAGGAACCAGGTCAGTCGGTTGTTCAATAATCTTTCAAATAGTTTGCACAGACAGCTAGTGAGGCTGATGGGTCTGTAGCTGTCTGCGTTGTTCTTCGGCTTTCCTTGTTTCAGGATTACGAAGATTTCAGACTTCCTCCAGGCTGGAGGAACTATACTAAAAATCCAGCTGGCATTAAAGATGTTTAATAATTTCTTTTTGGCACTTAGACCCATGTGTAGTAACATATCATTCGTGATTTTATCGGGGCCAGGGGCTTGGTTGGATTTCAGCTGGTTAAGTCCTGTGTTAAGTTCACTCATTGAGAATTTATCTGTCATGATGCTCTCTGCTGGTTTACTCTTGCTGGCCTCCTCGAGTTCTTTTATTCTTTGTACTACCTCATCTTCTCTGGACTTTTCTATATTAATATCACTAACAGATTTAAACTGATTTAAAAGGATATTTGCAGCATCGTTTCCAGATCTGATCTCATTGCCCTCATTTATTACTATTGGATTGGCTTGTTGGGCTTCTCCATTTAGACACTTGACTAGTTTCCAGAGTTTGGACCCATCTTTTTCAAAACTTAGGCTTTTGGTTTTGTCTTGCCAGCTCTTCCTAGTTGCTTGAAGTGTTTCTTTTTTTAGCTTAGCTTCTGCTGCTTTGTAAGCAATGTTGTTTTCTACCGTTGGGTTGCTTTCTACTCTATCTCTTGCTTCTGAGAGAGTTTGGTGGAGGTCTTGAATTTGTTGGGACCAAAATGGGATGTAATCTTTCCTTGAACCCCGAGGTATGGTTTCTTTGGCTGCTTTTAATATAGCTTCTGTAAACTCTTTTACTGATTTAGCAACCTGACTTGATTTGCCGTTTACATTTATCGAGTATACATCAGCAAGGTTAGCAAAACTGTTCCAGTCAGCTTTCTTGTAATTCCAACGAGGGGGCGGCATCGAATGAAGGCCTCTCATATTTAGAACAGAAATCAGGATCGGTCGGTGGTCACTACCTGCTAGTTGGCTGAGCACCATTTTATGTATGTTGCTTGCTAAGTCTAACGCGGCAAATGTTAAGTCTGGGCGGCTGGTTGAAAGCCATCTCCTGGAGAAAAAAGATGGGGAGTCATCTGGTTTGTTGATTAGCTGGAGTCTGGCATATGTCTGCCAGTCCTCCACTTCTTCTCCTCTGTCGTTGAGCTGTGAATATCCCCAGCTTGGAGAGCAGCTGTTAAAATCTCCTAGAACGATACAGTTGTCATCTGGGATTCTCATGTTGTATAATGAGAGTTCTTTGCTTGGCGGGCAGTAACAATTGTATAACACAATTTCCTTGCCTGCAATGTTAAGCCTGACACCCATGATCTCAGACTCCTGTTTTGTGTCCACTGTAAGACTAGCTGCTGGGATGCTGTTTTTTACAAGGATGAGGACTCCTCCCTTGGGACCATTTTCTCTGTCCTGTCTGAAGCTCTGGAAGCTTCTAATACAGAATCTGTGCTTTTCTGACAGGTGTGTCTCCTGTATACAGGCAATATCAATATTTCCTTCCGTAAGTTGTTTTGTGAGTGCAGCTTTTTTGTTGCGGACTCCCTCTGCATTCCATTGTAGAATCCTCAGAGCGCACACGTCTTCTTCGTCCATCTTGTCCCTCTGATAGATTTATAATCTAGGCTGTTTTTCTAGCTTTGCGAGTGGTGACGTTGTACAGTGGCCACTTTTAAGGTAGGGCTCACCGTGATATGTTTCACTGAAGTGTTAAAGATTAAACACCACAGTCTTCATTCCTGCTAGGGTTTTCTGACATTCAAGAAGGAATGCGTGACGTCATGTTTGTGGGAAAATATTCTCCCACACTATCTGTGCCTTTCGACCTGGCGTCTCCGTCTTCAACGTGCTTTTCTTTTAGAATGTGCTTCCTTAGCCTGTAACCAACCAAGGCCTGACCACCGGGCAGTGGTAGTTTAGTTTCAGAGTATCCTTCTCATAGGTGGGCTGCTGTCCCCAGCTATCGAGTCCCACCTACCCGGGGAAAAAACCTAATTAAATTTTTAACGGCATCCTGTGTTGGCGTGGCAGCGCTTCACCAGTCCGGTTGTATGCCACCGTGTGTACGCCCACAGGACATTTACTGTCTAAAATGCCATAAATCCATGGGGCCAGGTGAAACACAATCGGGCCTGTTTGTGCCCCGTTGGCAACAGAGGCTTCCGTTGCCGAAAACCTATTATAATACACTATATTCCATTTTTAACGAATATTGATCTACAAAGTCACACAAAAACTATTTCACAGTAAGCCCGACGGAACAACGGTCACAGTGATATAAAAATTATCCTCAGATATCCAATGCAACAAGGCTTAAAATCTAAAATGATGGGAGCGAGTAATTTCTTTAATTTGTTTATACTTCAGGCGTATTGAGCATATAGGGCTAGACCTATATTTAATAGACCGATCAGCACTTGGTGGGTGATGTGATCAGCATCACACTGGCTGCCTTTACTTCCCAAAACTCCACCTGGTACCCACTCAGGGCTGGGTGGACCTGGGACCCAAGGTCATTTTTGATAAAAAGTCTGGTCCCAAACCCACGACCTTCCGATCCGCAGGCAAGCGCCTAACCACCACACAACTGCGACTCCCTTTAACTTGTTTATGGTTTTCTTAAGTTTCTTGAAAGCTTTGCTGTCTCATTGACTTTTTTTAAACTGATTGAATTCTTTGTATTTTTATCAGATAGCACAGTGTTTATTCCATCTGATTAATTTTGTTCTTTATAATTTGTTTGGGTCCTTTGTCAAACAGTGACCTTGGTGCACAGATTGCCCTCTTAAACAAAAAACAACTGGAGGAGAAATATCCTTGGATGTGCTTCGATGGGATTGACTGTGGTGCTTTAGGTAAACCTTTCATCATTGATGTTTGTGTTTAGGAGAACTCAGCACCATCTTATTCTCACACAGTGTGGAGTGGGAAACAAGTTTGATTAAAGTATGTCTTAAACTGTAAGTAAGTAAAGGGCCCTTTTCCCCGCCTTTAGGCATATAGAGAATATAGGGCCAGACCTATATTTTATAGACCAATCAGCACAAGATGTGGTCAGCATCACGCCGGCCGCCTTTACTTTCCAGGACTGCAACCGGTATTCACTCAAAGCTGGATCGACCTGGGAGCCAAGGTCATTTTTGAAAAAAAGTCCAGCTCCGCCAGGGAACGAACCCACGACCTTCCAATCTGCGGTGATCGTCTATCTGCTTAGCCACGGTGACTCTCCTTAATAAACTGTACCATTTGTTAAATATATATTTGTTATGTTTGATAACACTGAAGGTACTGTCCTTGTCAATTTTACATGTCCGGACTGAACCAAGTAATATCTTATTGAAGAGCTGGATTCTTTCCTCTTGGTTGGTTTCGACACACTTATAGAATCCCTATGTTGTGTATGGATCCATTTGGGTATTGTTAATCTGTTTTCAAGCTGTCTGTCCGTTCAGCCAGTGTGAGTTAACTGGCATTTACATGGTAATTGGTTTACGGAGACACTAGTTCCTTAATAGGACGGGTTGAAATGGGAGTGGCAAAGAACATTTAGCCAACTGCTGTTTACAAAAAATATTAAGTGGATCTTGCAGACGCCATTCCTTCAATATGATGTCATGCAGCACCTGTAGGATCAACTACCGGAAGTGCTGTATTTGTGGCTTCCCAGGACAAAAGAGTTAATTCATTACGGGAAAACATTATTTTGGATTTTATTAGTGTCTTTTCTGTTTAGCCTCTACTTTGATGTGGTTGTTGTGTTGTTGTTGTTTTCAATCTAGCGGTGCATGAGATTGTGCCCTTTGACCCAATGCTATGTAGTGAAATTTACATTATTTCACAAGCTCTTCTTTTCCTTACTACAAGGCCTACTTGTCTGGTCTCAGATGGAGCAGCATTCTTCTAGTATCGCTGAGTTTTGGGCACTCAAAGAGATGATGGTCAACAGTTTCATAGGGGTAGTTACATAGCTGGTTCTCTGGGGGTGGAGGGGGGGGGGGGGTGTTGTGGCTGTATTTGATGTGGTAGCGGACCTTATCTGTCCAGTACTTTAAGAGCTATGCTGATGGCTACTGGTAAGGTCTTCCATCTTGAACAGGTCAGGGGTTAGTGGCCAAAGTGAGATACAAACCTGCTGCTGTCTTGTTGTCAACTGCAGACAATCAATGGCTAAACAAAGAAAACCCGGAGAAATGTTTGTTGAAATTAGACATACTTAGCCATGGGCTGAATGAACTAGAACAGCATTCTTCTTCTTCACTTCACCTTTTACCAGTTGCTTCAGATGTTGAGGGGGATATCAGGTCCTTCTTCTGGCTGCCTTGACCAGAGACACATTGTGCTGATGTAGAGTTTCTCTGATGTTATCTGTCCATCTTGTTCTTGGTCTACCTTATGCTATACATCCTTCTCTTTTGATGTTTGCCGACTGAGTGGGATATCAGGTTTTGCTTCTTGCTCTTCTGGCTGCCTTGACCAGAGACACATTGTGCTGATGTAGAGTTTCTCTGATGTTATCTGTCCATCTTGTTCTTGGTCTACCTTATGCTGTACATCCTTCTCTTTTGATGTTTGCCGACTGAGTGGGATATCAGGTTTTGCTTCTTGCTCTTCTGACCGACTTGACCAGAGACACATTGTGCTGATGTAGAGTTTCTCTGATGTTATCTGTCCATTTTATTCTTGGTCTACCTTATGCTGTACATCCTTCTCTTTTGATGTTTGCCGACTGAGTGGGATATCAGGTTTTGCTTCTTGCTTTTCTGACCGACTTGACCAGAGACACATTGTGCTGATGTAGAGTTTCTCTGATGTTATCTGTCCATTTTATTCTTGGTCTACCTTATGCTGTACATCCTTCTCTTTTGATGTTTGCCGACTAAGTGGGATATCAGGTTTTGCTTCTTGCTCTTCTGGCTGCCTTGACCAGAGACACATTGTGCTGATGTAGAGTTTCTCTGATGTTATCTGTCCATCTTGTTCTTGGTCTACCTTATGCTGTACATCCTTCTCTTTTGATGTTTGCCGACTAAGTGGGATATCAGGTTTTGCTTCTTGCTCTTCTGACCGACTTGACCAGAGACACATTGTGATGATGTAGAGTTTCTCTGATGTTATCTGTCCATTTTATTCTTGGTCTACCTTATGCTGTACATCCTTCTCTTTTGATGTTTGCCGACTAAGTGGGATATCAGGTTTTGCTTCTTGCTCTTCTGGCTGCCTTGACCAGAGACACATTGTGCTGATGTAGAGTTTCTCTGATGTTATCTGTCCATCTTGTTCTTGGTCTACCTTATGCTGTACATCCTTCTCTTTTGATGTTTGCCGACTAAGTGGGATATCAGGTTTTGCTTCTTGCTCTTCTGACCGACTTGACCAGAGACACATTGTGATGATGTAAAGTTTCTCTGATGTTATCTTTTCATCTTGTTCTTGGTCTGTCTCGTGCTGTACATCCTTCTCTTTTGATGTGTGCTTTGTATGGTATGGCACCACAAGGCATTCTCTCTTATTGGGCAAACTATTTGATTTGCTGTCTTTGTATTTAATTTAGAACGAGTGTCGACTTTTTCTCTTTTGTCCTCATTCCTGATTTTATCTCCTCTGGTCACTCCTGCAGTCCCTCCTGAGATATTGCATTTCCACGGTTACAGTTGTGACAGCATTATTTACCCTGGGAAGAATACAGCACCGTTATTCTCTTTATGATATCTTGAAGTTAAAAGTCGAGAGGATCGTAATATCAACTACAACCCCTAGGGTTCTGTGTAAAAACTACACTCATGAAACAAACCCACGACCTTTAGAGCATGTGGTTAGTGGCTCGACCACTTCGCCAAGGAGACCCTACTGAATTTACTGTGAAGTTTAAAAAAAAAAATATAATTCAGAAGACATTTTGGTATCAACTTCTAGGCCTGGAAGGTGAAGGCTGGTTTGACCCCTGGTCACTTGTGAGAGCACTGAAGCAGAAAAATATCAGCATGGGATCAAGATATGTGCATGGGGAACTGGTCAGCTTTGAATTCCATTCATTAGGCAACTCAGATGATGAGGGAAGCAAAATAGACTCTGGGGTGGTAAGTGTGTGTGTGTTTAACTCATTGTTGTGTGCTAAACTCATTGTTGTGTGTTTAACTCATTGTTGTGTGTTTAACTCATTGTTGTGTGTTCAACTCATTGTTGTGTGTTTAACTCATTGTAGTGTGTTTAACTCATTGTTGTGTGTTTAACTCATTGTTGTGTGCTTAACTCATTGTTGTGTGCTTAACTCATTGTTGTGTGCTTAACTCATTGTTGTGTGCCCACACTTTCCGTCAGTAGTCTATACATAATAGCTGACTAGAGGCTGGCTGTGCCCACTGCACTACGCCTCCTGACCCACAACCAGCCTCCAATGCAATCAGGAACACATCCTCGCAGTTGGATCAATGCCTTGTTTTCATTAAAAACACTGAATTGGAGCATTCCAAATTATACACCTAATTCAGTCTACGCTGTCTCCAGAATAAAATGATACACAAGATTACAACTAAAAATCACAGACATGTCCTACATACGTCCACGCTATCACAACAACTGAGGGGCACTTATTGGACACCCACCACGGATTCCTTCCAGCCCAGATTCTGGCCACACATGAGTCTCGTATTACCCGTGTAAATCACTCTTAGCCATCAAACTCCAGAAACACCTCATTCCGGACTTCGTGCACAGCGATGACCTTTTGCACTCGTCTCTATCATCATCATTATCATCCAGTGCTTTCATGACAGGCGTAGGCAATCACACCCCTGGTGCCTGGTACAGTTGAACCACAAAGTGAGTTTAGCACACAACAATAGTCTTGTCCTGTATGCTGTGATCTCGAGTGAGTCTTTACCCAGATGTTAGAATGCGGCCATAACAACTATGAATACGGGCACAATACTCAAAATTGAGAAGATGTAAGGGCAGGAGGGCACATATCAAGAAGATGGACTGATGACATTTAAGACATTATACAATCGATCAGGTGCTGTCTCCACAATGAAGATATTGAATCTTTACCAAGATAAACCAGATAAGTTTGTAATTGCTTCGGCTGCAGACTGAAAAGTTTTTGTTTGTTTGTTTAATATAAAGGAGTTAGTTCCATGCCCTGAAAAATGATAGCCCCTTTCTTTTTGATAGCCCCTTTCTTTTTGATAGCCCCTTTCTTTTTAATAGCCCCTTTCTTTTTGATAGCCCCTTTCTTTTTGATAGACCCTTTCTTTTTGATAGCCGCTTTCTTTTTGATTGCCCCTTTCTTTTTGATAGCCCCTTTCTTTTTGATAGCCCTTTTCTTTTTGATAGCCGCGTTCTTTTTGATAGCCCCTTTCTTTTCGATAGCTCCTTTCTTTTTGATAGACCCTTTCTTTTTTTATAGCCCCTTTCTTTTTTATAGCCCCTTTCTTTTTATAGACCATATCCTGCCCATACGGGATGTGGTCGGTTGCACAGTGGCCATCTTTATTTCCTAGTATGAATGTGTAGAACTGTGCAGCATTATTGAGGATTGAAATGTGTATACTTAGGAAATAGGCTACAAAAAAACTGTTGAGAGCACTGAACTTGTGTGGGAATGCTAAATGTGCAGTGATGTCATGATACTATGATATAACATAACATAATAACATAACAATAATTTGTTTGATATCATAGATCAGTTAAATTAGGTGTATATCAGTGCCTGATGCATTCCTTAGTACCAAAGTCAACATAATAATATAACATAACATTATAGTAAAACATTAACATAATAGTATAACATGGCATAACACAATAATGTAACAGTATAACATTAACATAATAGAACATAACATTAACATAGCAATATAAAATAGTATAACATAAAACATAGTAATATGACATAACAATATAACAAGATAATAACATAATATAATAATATAACATTGCATGATGTAACACAATAACATAACAGAATAATATAACGTAACATAAAAACTATTTGTTTCAGATTAGAACAGCTGGTGGCGGGGAGAGTGAGGTTCGATTCTCATTGGTCATCAACTGTGCTGGTCCCTGGGCTGCAGAAGTTGCAGAGATGGCTAAGATTGGGACAGGCGATGGGGTGTTATCTTTACCTCTGCCTGTAGAACCTAGGTAAGAATTTTATCTTAACTTGATCATACAGCCGATTCTTCTTCTTCTCCTCCTCTTCCTCCCTCTCCTGCTATAAACTCTGGCAGGAAGATCTGGACTACTTGAGTGTTGCGTTGACATCCATTTTACCCATCTGCAATATCTGCACCATTCAGCCCAGCACATCCAATTTCAGCAGACTCCTTATTGGTTGACTTTTACCACATTCTTGTTAGGGAGCAGTGGATCCGTACCCCTCTCCCTCTTCCCTAAAATGGGACATACCCACAGGGTCTGCCATGATGCATGCCGTCCAATATTGGCACACCATGTTGGGGTTTACAGCTCGGCTGCCGTATCTGCACCTTTCAGCCCAGCACATCAGATTTCAGCAAACTCCTAATTGGTTGACTTTTACAACATGCTTTTTAGAAAGCAATGGATCTGTTCTGTTTATTTCCAAAACTGAGGCCCCAGAACCCACATGGGGTCTGCCGTGATGCCAACCATCCAGCACTTCTTCTGTTGGTTTCCTGCTGCGTCTCCTACCTTTAAACTTTCATGTTGTCATGATTGACTTCAGTTTTCTGCTTCTCAAGACTTGCCTGAAGAATGTGGACCAGCTTCTTACGTAGATTACACAGATAGAATCCCAAAACGATACAGAAACTATGTAGTACCAGCAAACGTCCATATATGTACACCCAGTGAGTGCTGATTGGTCTATAAAAGTGGGGGTCACATACCGTATGCTCGCTGTGCCACTGCACAAAGAAAGGTCCTCTTTTTTACTTCAGAATGAGCACATGGTTCCACCTAGTTTTTATGTGTGGTCATTATCTGAGAAGGCTAGGTGTCATATCAACTACTCCATGTTGAGAGGGAACGTAGCCTCTTCCAAACTTTGTGTTGCAAAAATCAGTTTGGTTTGTACCATGTTAGAGCCCAAAAGGGAGTTTTGATAGTCATACCTGATGCCTGAGGATGGCAATAACAGAAGAACCTAACTCATAGTTTTACTACTTTCACAGGGACCAAATACACAAATATTATCAGAAATAAACATTCTCAGAGTTCTTTAGTAGCTGATTAAATGTGAAATTGAAAGACATACATAACATGTTGACTGGTATATAGTATTTGTATAAAAGTGATGCCCAAGAAGATTCATTAAAAAAAATGCAACAGTTGAGATGGTTTGGCCATCCGACAATACTCTGATACCAGCTACCACAGAGAGCTAGGTTGAAGAAATATAATAAACACAAATAGGGAGAAGACTTTGTAAAGTATTGAACGATAGCATCAAAAAGAGCCTTAAGGAGGTGAAGATTAACTTATGCAGCACATAAGAACAAACACACAGAAGATCATTACACAATCCCCCCCCCCCCCCCCCCCCCCCCCCCCCCCCCCCATCCCCCGACCCCAAGAGCTTTGATGAGTAACTAGAAGAGGAGAAGGGGAATAAGTCACTTATGTTATGTTGCTTGGTGTGGATGGAATTAAGCCACTCTGCTCCCTATTTTAAGATTTTTTTAAAAAGTAGGATTTTTGTAAAGAAAATGAGTATCGCAATTAATGACTTTTTATCTTTACAGGAAACGGTTTGTTTTTGTGACTCATTGTTCTAATGGCCCTAAGCTGGATTGTCCTTTCGTTGTTGATCCTTCTGGTATGTACTTCAGGCGAGAGGGCTTAGGGGGTCACTATATTTGTGGGTGCTCTCCTGCATCAGAGGTAAGTTCAGTTCTTATTAATGGAATTTTAACAGTTGCCAGTTTGCTTTGTTAAAATCTAGTATTTAGCAGTGGTGCCAAAATCAAAGTGTTTGAAACAATTTGTGCACATAATTGACTCATTCTGGCCCTGGTATCCATAAGTAGCCAGCTTTTGTTGAAAGTATTGCCAAAATAAATAAATAAATAAATAACCCTTTACAGTTTATTTTAAGATATTTCATAAAAGGAAATTTGAACCATGTTGAACAGATGTGTCCTGACATAATCAAAGAAAGCATATTGAAGAATTCAAGGTGAAAACCTGAGGAGGTGTCCAGGAAGGAGATGAAAGGTCAGATTAAATTCCCGGAAAGTTAATCTGGTCAACAAATACTCGATGAAGTTGGACATGTCGCCCAAAAGGTGCAAATAATGCAGGCTTTGCTGTTAAACAGACGCAACTAAATTACGTCACTCGAGCAGACGAAACGAAAAAGAAGATTAAATTCAACCTGCTGATATTGAAATGTAGGGATAGATCAAGAGTGTTTCGAAATGGAGAAAGAGATTAAACAGATTATGCTGAATGCAGCAGCAAGTCTTGGTAGATCTTGAATTTGAAGGAGAAGAGGGAAAAGAAGCAATGTTAGGATGAAGATTAAAAAAAGAAGAGCAGCAGAAACAAAAATACAAAGGTCTTATTTTCACACCTTTACCATCATATTATTGCCTGTAATGTTGTGAATTCCCGGGGAAACCCCAGAGAGTTCCCGATGGGGAGAAAAAGGTCGGAGGACCCGTGAGAGAAGAGAAAAACGGGAGAAGTGAGTCTCGTGTGTCTCAGGGTAAACGAAGTGAGAGACACAAGAAAAGCATGAGACGTGAACGGAAGACGTGAACCGAGAGACTGAAGTAAGACAGTTGAAGTTCTGCCCTGACTGAGAGAGGACGCGTGAAAGAACGCCTGAGAAGAATAAATGATTTGTCAAGTGAACGTTATATTTCAATAGGAGGACTGAATGTTTTTCCATACATCGTAATGTCAGATATCAGAGTCCATGAAGTATAGATGGATGGTTCGAGAGGCGCTGATAAATTCCTGTAGTGTGTGGGAAGTCCGTCCAGGTCGCTAGATTCAGCCAAGCAAGTCGAGCACGAGGAAGCATGAATGTATGTTTGCGATAACTGGCGATTCAACGAATAAAAGCAAAAAGAACTCAATATTCGTTCATGCTGTGTCGTTTCAACTCACTGTTCGTCTGAAAGCAATGTAAACAATACATGCCCCTAGATGAGCACATTACAAGTGGAGGCTCTAAAACGGACACATCCGGGACAAAAAACAACGACAGAAGATAACCGGAACATCACTGAAAACACAGCGGATTGGACCAATTGAACTCGACAGCTAATAACGGAGCTGAACAGTCAATGTAAGTGGCGTTCTGTGTCAAGGTCGATTTCCAGTAATCGTCTGAGGTAACAGCAGTTGTTAGTCAAAATTTATTTGTTCAGAACAAGCAACGACAAACATGGTCAGTGTAGTGACCAAAAACCCGGCCAGTTGGACCAGTTAAACTTCAAAGCTCAAAGCGGGGCTGCAGAGTTGACGTAAGTGGGAAAGTACAGTTTTTCTGTGTAAGGATGGCCAAATTCGCCACTGGGTAACGTGTCGAAATTAGTTATCGTTACAGTATCATCATAACAACTATACCACGTATCGTTACAGTGGCATCATAACAACTATGCCGCGTATTATTACAGTGTGATCGTAACAGCTATACTACACATTGTTACAGTGTGATCGTAACAATTATACTGCGTATTGTTACAGTGTGATCGTAACAACTATACGGTGTATTACAACATCAAATTAGTCATCAATCAGTCCAGTGTTTGAAACAGTAGTTGCAAAGGGCAACAGCCACCAAGTACAGTGATCACTAAACATGCTAACATAACGTAAGTGTGTTAAGACAAGGCATCTAGCTGAGTGACATTGGTCAAGCGGACAGCCGACTTATATCCACATATCCGATCTAACATGCAGCTAGCGGAACACCGCTAAACGAACATCCGTAGCACAGGTAGAACAAGTACACGTGCAGAACAGTTTTTTGTGAGTTCCTTCAAGTCTTTAGAACAGACAGTCAGTTTCCATGAATTATTCAGATTGACATCCATGTTCAACTTATAGACGAGTGCCGCTATTTTTCAAAAAAGTACACTACTTCCATGATGAACCACAATATGAATTCAGACGGGTAGTGGCCAATTAATGAAGTGACATTACCAACCAGAAGATTCAATTGCACGACACGATCTACAAGAGACTCGTTCAATAGATTTCCGTTACAGCCGAGAAGTGTGCTATAGCGAAAAGAAGGATCCGTAGAATAGACTGTGTCTTAGCTCGATAGGAGCCATAGTAATTTTTTTTAAAAGTTGAGTAATTAAGTTCATAGTTGATATTATTGTTCTGAGTAGGTAGAAAACTACTCAGCTAAACATAGTGATTATATATCACATATTGATTTTGTTGGTTGTGATTGTATTGCTATTAAGCGTAATATTTGTGAACGCATTTGTAATTGTTATATTTGTACAGGAATATTGTATACATCTACAAGTCAAAAATGGCGGAATGGGTAGCCATTGGTAAAGAATTGGGCCTTCAGGGCGACGAGTTAAGAAAGTATGTGGATGAAAAACATAAAGAGAAGGTAGAAGAGGAAAGGAGAAGAGCAGCAGAAGAAAAAGAAGAACAAAAAAGAAGAGAAGCAGAAGAAAAAGAAGAACAAAAAAGAAGAGCAGCAGAAGAAAAAAAAGAACAATTAAGAAAAGCAGCAGAAGAACGAGAAGAACGCAGACTTGTGCGTGAACACGAACTACGTCTCAAAGAGAAAGAAGCAGTAAAAGAGGCTGAATTGAAACAGATGGAACTACGTCTCAAAGAGAAAGAAGCAGTAAAAGAGGCTGAATTGAAACAGATGGAACTACTACAACAAAAAGAGATTGAAGAGAAAAAATTACAGCTGGAAAAACAGAGGTTAGAGGCACAAATACAAGCGGACAAAGAAAAAGCAGAAACTCAGATCAGAACAAAGGAAATGGAAAATGAGTCAAAAAGAGAAGCAGCCATAGAAAAAGAGAGAATTAAAGCAGAAGAAAACAAATTCAAAAAATATGCAGGAATAGTCCGAAATTACTGCAAGGAAGACGACATCGGAGCGTATATAGCCAATTTCGAACTAGGTATGCACATGCATAACGTCCCATTAATCTTTCAAAAACACCTGGCATTTGAACCTTTAAAGATTCTGGAAACAATTCCGGAAACCAAAAGACTAGATTACAACTATATCAAAGAGAGGTTAATGGTGCATTACAACCTGCACGAAGCTGGCTACCGAAAACAGTTCAACGATTTGAGACCAAAAAGTAGTCAAACATTTGCAGACTATCTGTCAGAAGTGCAGAACATATTCCAAAAATGGGTTGAAGCAGCCAATGTAAAAAATGACTATAAGTTATTGGTTGATTTGTTGTTAAGATGTAAAATGTTAGAATCTCTTCCACAGCCAATGGCAACTTTCCTAAAGGAAAATAAGCCAACAAATTTAGATTCTTTAGAAGAAATAGGTGAAAATTATTTTGCAGCACACCCTGATATCTTCGTGCTATCAAGTTCTGATTTGATAGAAGTGGGAGCAGCAGCCTATGCAAAACCATACCAACAGAAATTTCAGAACAAAAACTTTAGATATGGCAAGAAAGAGGTAAAGACTATCAATTGCAACCACTGTCACGATAGACATGGTGACGACGCACCTTGTGATAAAAGCCCACTATTTAATGAAAGAATCGAACAGGTGATTGCTCATAGAAAAAACAAGTTAAAGAGGTATGAAAATGCAGTAAAATGTTATATTTGTGGATGTTATTTGCACACCAGACGTAACTGCCCTGCTATAAAACGATTCAAGGAGGCACATGTAGTATGTGTAACATCAGATGATGAGTCAGAAAGCGATTCAGCTGAAGCCAATTCAGCTACCATGTACGAAACAGAAGAAGAATGTAAAATATGTTCTAAATTCCATAAGGAAGGCAACCTACCGTGTGGACACCTGATACCCATTCAGAATGCTAATCTGGCAACACACGGCCACGGTACTCTGAAATTTCAAAAAGGTCAGATCCATGGGCAAACCATATCACTCCTTAGGGACACTGGTGCATCTATTTCCGGACTGCATCAAAGACTGATTAGACCAGAAGATTTAACAGACAAATACATCAATTGTCGTACCTTTGGTGGTAGCATCGAAAGATATCGACTTGCTAACGTGTTTGTTAAAACACCATACTTAGAAAAGTTCATAACTGTTGCAGTATTACCATCCCCTTGTGCTGATTTGATTTTGGGAAACAGGGAAGATTTAAGAACAGTAACCGACAGGGACATTGTAGCTTGGGGACAAAAGAATATTCCAAAGTATTGTCAGAATGAAAGTATGGAAGACAACTCCCCATATCCCAAAGAATGCTGTAATGTGAGTGAGAGTAAGGTTACGAAAGACAACCCTACAAATCCCAGTGAGAGTGTCAACCCAAGTGAGAGCGAAGATACAAAAGTTAACACTCCATATCCCAAAGAAGAATGTGTCAGAGAAAGCTTGGAGAGTGAAAGGAAAAATGAAAATACAAACAGAAGAAAAAGGCCAAAGAATGGATCAGAAAGTATGGAAGAAAGAAGCAAGAAGAGTAGCAGTCGTAACAAAGCCCAACACAGAAAGAAGAAAAGTGGAATGAATGAAAGCGAAGTGTGCAAGAATAAACAGCATACAAAAACAGAAACTAAGCTTAGCAGAAAAAAGTGTGTGGTTACAAAAATAACGGTAACTGAAAACACTAAAAACACAGAAACAAAACACAGTGTAGACAGGTATCAAATGAAACATCCTATTCTCTGTGATTGTTGTAAAAAATATTGCAAATCGCTGGGTCCTGAAACTAGAAAGCGATACGATATGTTAACAAAAAAGTATCATGACATATCACAAAAGAAACACCATGTACAGAAACAGCAGAATGGTACATCACATTACACACATGGTTGGATGTGGATACTACACTTCATTTTAATTTTATTGCAGATTATTTTGACAACATTTCAGACAAAGAACTTAGAGTTATTCTGTACTATCTATGCTATTCAAATAGTGCAACTTTTAGTGACTAATTATCCTAGTCGGAAAAACTTCAATTCACAAGTCTTGGTGATTATCAAAAGCTGTCAATTTCTCAAAAGTGTTACACTACTTGCATTGCTACTACTAAAACTATTGCTTCTACACATGGTTTATTCTAAACACTTTCCTCATTCTGTGATTACACATACAACTTGTCGGTAACAGCAGTCACATACAGCAAGCAGATTATTTTAATATATTGTGATAGTAGGTTAACCAGTCCACTTTAATTAAACAGTTTTAATTGTGTCTATATACATTAGCACGGAATTAATTATCATGTATCTGGTATAACAATATTTAGAAACCACCCATTATAGTGTTTCATAATGATGTATTAGTAACATGGAAGTACAAAAAGGCAGATGCCCACGCAACATACGCAGCGAATGTTTGCAAATAGGAGTTCCAAACTGATGGCCTTCGAACCCGGTCAAAAGTGGGTTTCTACCAAAAGATTCAGTTGAATTATATATCGAATGGCGTGGCCCTTACACTGTAGTAAGAAAAGTATCAAATGTTGATTATGAAATTGATTATAAAGGGAAATTGAAAATTTTTCATGTTAACATGATGAAAAGGTATTTTACAAGAAATGTAAGGTATTAACAGGTATTAATAATGTAACAGCATACATGGATGATATTTGCATACACACAAAAACTTTGCAGGAACACATAGACACCTTGAAAGAAGTGTTCAGCAACATTCAAAAGGCAAATCTGACTGTTAATCCAGCGAAATCAGAGTTTTGTTTCACACAAATCCAGTTTTTAGGACATACAGTGTTCCAGGGTAGTATTCAGACTGACGAGACAATTGTTTCTAAAATTTTAAAAATTGAAAGACCAAAGACCAAGAAACAATTACAGGCACTATTAGGACTAGTAAATTATTACGGCAAATTCATCCCTAAGTTAGCAGAACTAACAGCCCCTCTATCGGAACTTTTGAAAAAAGACCAGTTTAGAAAATGTTTACAGCCATTCTGTGGTTGATTTCACAACCATGACCTCCATTATATCTATTTCATAATTATGTTAATTGAAATATTGGGGGAGAAAAAGGTCGGAGGACCCGTGAGAGAAGAGAAAAACGGGAGAAGTGAGTCTCGTGTGTCTCAGGGTAAACGAAGTGAGAGACACAAGAAAAGCATGAGACGTGAGCGGAAGACGTGAACCGAGAGACTGAAGTAAGACAGTTGAAGTTCTGCCCTGACTGAGAGAGGACGCGTGAAAGAACGCCTGAGAAGAATAAATGATTTGTCAAGTGAACGTTATATTTCAATAGGAGGACTGAATGTTTTTCCATACGTCGTAATGTCAGATATCAGAGTCCATGAAGTATAGATGGATGGTTCGAGAGGCGCTGATAAATTCCTGTAGTGTGTGGGAAGTCCGTCCAGGTCGCTAGATTCAGCCAAGCAAGTCGAGCACGAGGAAGCATGAATGTATGTTTGCGATAACTGGCGATTCAACGAATAAAAGCAAAGAACTCAATATTCGTTCATGCTGTGTCGTTTCAACTCACTGTTCGTCTGAAAGCAATGTAAACAATACATGCCCCTAGATGAGCACATTACAGATTATCAGACAGATTCTGTCAATATTATACTGCTACTACTGTTGCAGGCTGATGAACCAGAAGTTGATAACTTGGAAGTGGATTACAATGTTTATGATGAGCGTGTATGGCCACTGATGGCCAACAGAGCTCCCTGCTTCAATAACTCTAAGGTAACTACTACACAGCTTGTCCCATACGTTTCCAAACATGGGGAAAATAAACATTTTGTTATGAACACCAGTTTTAGCTGTGTGATATTCTCTACATGATTACCATTGTTTTGAAAACATATGTCGATGCATGTCACCTGCTGAAGAACAGGTACATGTCGATACATGTCACCTGCTGAAGAACAGGTACATGTCGATGCATGTCACCTGCTGAAGAACAGGTACATGTCGATACATGTCACCTGCTGAAGAACAGGTACATGTCGATGCATGTCTTCTGCTGAAGAACAGGTACATGTCGATGCATGTCTTCTGCTGAAGAACAGGTACATGTCGATACATGTCACCTGCTGAAGAACAGGTACATGTCGATACATGTCACCTGCTGAAGAACTGGTATAAGCACAATGAGAGGTATGCTTAAAATGGCGTTGGTGATGTCTTTATTTTTCCTATTTCTGGAAACTTATGGGATACCCCCATTCATTCACTTCACTTGCAACCATATAATTTTCATATCGCTTATATTTTGGGATAAATAGTGTCCTGTGTATTTTAATATATATTTCTAATATTTTATTATCTATTTACTAAATTAAATTTAGTTGTTTATGTTATTTATGTGCGGGCTGTGTCAGACAGAGCGACTGTTACTTTATATGCCCCGCCTCGGTCTTCTGTAGCATGCTCATCGGGTCGCTGAACGAACACGCATTGGTGAATACCTGTGTTTGCAGGCATTCTATGGTTGTTATCACAACCATGACCTCCATTATATTTATTTAATAATTATATTAAATATAATTTCTTGAATATGATTAGGATGTCCCCGTGTAGCTTCCAGAACATTTTCAGTGTGGAGGAATAACCCACTGCCATCTAACAAGCATGTCATAAAAGGCAACTAATTAGGTGTTCTGTGGAACCAGATATGTTGTGCCGGAAGGCACAGATATTGCACCCTTGCTGTAAACCACAATGCAGTGTCCCAACTGCCCCTATAAAGACAAAACAGAATAAGAAGAAGATTAACATGGATTGTATATTACGACTTTTTTAGTACCTTTCGTTATCTCTTAGTGTAGCCATGGCATTGTATTTGTCAGTCCTTTAACAACCAGCAGTGTAGGCTGGATTATTCTTTTGGCTTCCTCTTTCAAGGAGCATGTGCCACACCTAATTATGCGCTACCTTAAGTCAGAGATGAACGTTGTTGAGAGACACAAGGCCACTGGACGACTCCATCCATGTTATCAGTATATTTACACATCAAGATGAGGATGGTTATTGTCTGATAGTACCAGGTACTGGCTGATAGTACCAGGTCGTGTATGATAGTACCAGGTATTGTATTATAGTACCAGGTATTGTCTGATAGTACCAGGTATTGTATTATAGTACCAGGTATTGTCTGATAGTACTAGGTTTTGTCTAATATTACCAGGTATAGGCTGATAGTACCAGATATTGTCTGATAGTACCAGGTATTGGCTGATAGTACAAGGTATTGGCTGATAGTACAAGGTATTGGCTGATAGTACAAGGTATTGGCTGATAGTACAAGGTATTGGCTGATAGTACAAGGTATTGGCTGATAGTACAAGGTATTGGTTGATAGTGCCAAGTGTTGTCTGATAGTACCAGGTATTGGCCTATAGTATCAGGTATTGGCGGATAGTACCAGGTTTTGTCTGATAGTACAAAGTATTGTCTTATAGTACCAGGTATTGTTTAATGGTACCAGGTATAGGACTAGGCAATATCTGACAGTACCAGGCAATTTCTGACAGTACCAGGCAATGTCTGACAGAATTAGGCAATGTCTGACAGTACCAGGCAATATCTGACAGTACCAGGCAATATCTGACAGTAACAGGCAATATCTGACAGTACCAGGCAAATTTGACAGTACCAGGCAATATCTGATAGTACCAAGCAATATCTGACAGTTTCAGGCAATATATGACAGTACCAGGCACCGTCTGATAGTACCAGGCAATGTCTGACAGAATTAGGCAATGTCTGACAGTACCAGGCAATATCTGACAGTACCAGGCAATATCTGACAGTAACAGGCAATATCTGACAGTACCAGGCAAATCTGACAGTACCAGGCAATATCTGATAGTACCAGGCAATATCTGACAGTTTCAGGCAATATATGACAGTACCAGGCAATATCTGACAGTACCAGACAATGTCTGACAGTAGCAGCCAATATCTGACAGTACCAGGCAATATCTGACAAGACCAAGCAATGTTTGACAGTACCAGGCAATATCTGACAGTACCAGGCAATATCTGACAGTACCAGGCAATGTCTGATAGTACCAGGCAATGTCTGATGGTACTAGGCAATGTCTGACAGTAATAGGCAATATCTGACAGTACCAGGCAATGTCTGATAGTAGTAGGCTATGTCTGACAGAACCAGGCAATATCTGACAGTAGCAGCCAATATCTGACAGTACCAGGCAATATCTGACAGTAACAGGCAATATCTGACAACACCAGGCAAATCTTACAGTACCAGGCAATATCTGATAGAACCAGGCAATATCTGACAGTTTCAGGCAATATCTGACAGTGACAGGCAATATCTGACAGTACCAGCCTATATCTGACAGTGACAGGCAGTATCTGACAGTACCAGGCAATGTCTGATAGTTCCAGGCAATATCTGATAGTAACAGGGTCATCCCAAGATAGACACAATTGATTAACTCTTTGAGTCCCAGAGGATTTAGCATTACAGGCCCAGGAGGTAGTAAAGAAAGTAATAAATCGGCGCATCATGCATTCATGGAGCTTCTAGGTAGGAACCTCTGAATGTATGATGTGTTTCTTGGGACTCAAAGAGTTAAAACATGTAGAGGACCTTTTTTGTGCCAATGGCATGTCAGGTGGATGATGTCGCCAGCGTCATGCCGGCCACTTTTACTTTCCAAGATAGAACAGTTTTAGGCTGGGACAACATGACAGCCAAAAACTATTTTGAAAACAGTCAGTGCAGATTCAAACCCAGCAGATTTGGCCTGGCAGAAAAGTGTCTAGCTACTGTGCCACTACAGCTACAAAAGAAGATAAAAAGGGTATCTCAGTTTTCTGGAAATTGTCTAGAAAGGCTCCACTAGGGGTTCTAGGTTCAGTTTTTGGGAAGGGAAGAATATACCCAGCGGTCACAACATGTTCTATTTTCCTTCTTCTCATAACATGACCCTAAGATGATGACTATTTCTGATGTCGTGATAAGTTGTCTCCAAGCACTCCCTTCTTTCAGAACACATGGGTTGCTCTTCTTAGCTGCTCAAGGAATTTTAAGAATTCTTATGTAAAAACCACATCTCCAAGGCTTCAAGATATTGTTCGGTGTTTATTAATTGTCAAGTTTCACAGCCATATGTTAAATCTGGCTCAGTATAGCATGGGAAAATTTTTGTCCTAACCTCCAGTGACATGGATCTGTCCTACAATATGTTCTTCATTTCATAAAAAACAGTTTTGGTCTTTATTATTATGTTCTTTGTCTCTGTGATACATCTTCCATCGGATGTTATCTGGGCTGTGCTACGGAGTTTCGTGCACGAGTGCCTAGTCTCCTATTGGCGTTTCATCAGCATCCTATGGTGAAATTTTATTCATGGAAACCCCACGACGGGTGACAAGAACATAGGACTGGTAACCGCACGACGCTGATGAATATGTTGAGAGGGGAATCTGAGCGCCTTTGAATGTGTCTGGAGTACTGTGAAGATAATCTAACTCATAACTCATGTTATCCATGTGCCCAGATAAATTTCTATACTTGTCCTAAAATAATGCCTTTGACTTTTATTACCCATTTAGGCACTATTCTTTTCTTGGAAATCACCATTACTTCTGTCTGTCCATTACTCAAACTGGGGCCTGTTTTATCACTTTCTACCACTACTGTATCTATTAATTCCGGTAGTTGTTTCTGACTTGTCTCTATCAAGAGAGTGTCATCAGCATCTTCTTCAGCGATCTCTGGTCATGAGCATAATCCACTGTGGGTCATAAACTGGGATGTCTTTTCAAGGTCTCTTAGGTTTCCCCAAAGCTTAGTTGTCAGTTCTACTGGGTGTTGCCATATGTCGCTCCGCAGCTCCGCCAGGAGAGGACAGTCTTGCAGGACATGTTCTGGAGTCTGTTCAGCACGAAGGCACTGGCAGAGAGCTGTTTGGCTCATACCTAATTTATGTGAGTGTTTATTGAGTCTGCAGTGTCCAGTGCGTAAGCGAAAAACTGTGACTTGGTCTGTTCTGTTCAAGTTTTTCAGAAAATCTTTTCCGTAGTTATAACCAGTGTTGGTTTTCCAATCTGTTTCTGGTCATCAGCATAACACAGGTTGTTTATGTTATGACCACCAGCCACAATTCCTGGTATATCCATGATAGATTTCATTATATATTCACTGTATAATGAAAACAAGTCAGGTGATAGTACATACATTTGTCTTACTGCCCAGCTCTTAACCCTTTAAAAATAAAGTTAGTTCATTCGTTCATTCCCCTTTTAAGCTTTGAAATGTTCACAAATGGTTATTAATTCTTATAGCTGCTGTTTGCTAACTAGAGGTGTTTTTTCTTAGTCGGAGTGCATCTGCCTGAGAGTTGAGGTGCCAACAATCTGGCTACAAATAAACCAGAACTGTAAAATGGACATGTACGCAAATCTCTAGTCTTGGAAAAAGACTAAAATTCAGAAGTGGACGAACAACCAGAATTTTCTGCCAGAGTTTACAGCCGATAAATACTAAAAAGAAGAGAAGTCTTGAGACGGAAAGGGAACTAACAAATCCACCTCAAATATCATATTCTAGAACTTATGAGGGCCTAACATATCACACTGTAATGACAGCATCTGCTTTGAGATTACCTTTACCTTCTATTTCATTTCCACATTCCAGCTGAAGTCTGCCTGGGCTGGCTTCTATGATTACAATGTATTTGACCAGAACCTAGTGATTGGACCACATCCGTACCTGAAAAACTTCTACTTTGCCAACGGCTTGAGTGGGCATGGTTTACAGCACTCAGTTGCTATTGGTAGGGCCGTTATGGAACTTATAATCTATGGCAGCTATCAGACAATCAATTTGCAGAAGTTCCATTTTGATAGATTCTTTACAAAAACAGCTGTGCTGGAGGAGGGAATTATATAACGTAAGATCCACTATGTTTACATTAGGATTGTTGTACGTCCTCATTTTTGTAGACTTGTCCTCATTTCACAGGTAAATCTGAGCATCTATAAACAGTTTTGGACATTTGTAGATTTGTCCGCAATTTTTCAAGCCAAGACAGAATTAACACTGTGTGAATATATTGACAAAGAAAGAAATGGTTTGGCCATTGAGTGAGAATGCAACCCGGCCAAACTGCATATGAGGCTTTTAACAGCAGAACATCTGGGATAAAGGCAGGAGGAAAACCACAACAATGGGCTACAACCTGGTATCTGTGAGATGACAAAAGAAGAAGAAGAAGTAGGAGACAATGTTGAAAACTGTAGGAGCTGTGAAATGTACTCTGGAATCATAAAGATAGTTGTTCTTCTTTGCTGTTCCAGCATACAATGCTTTGGTAGAAAGACTTTTTTCTTTAATCCCTACCCAATTGCTCACTAAGAGAAATCGTCATAGTGTAAATTCAGTCAAGTCAATTTTACTTGTAAAATTTAATTTCAAACATTTCACATGCAAGCAGTTTTTATTAACATTTCATGTAAAATAAAGATATTCTGAAAAGATTAGGTCATCAGAAAAAATAGACATGGAACACATTTTAAATGAAATGTTCTGTAGTAGGATTGTGCTCATTTCAGAAAACCGAATATGCCAACCTTGGTTTATATTGGTATAGCAAATTAACTCTTTCAGTTGTAGGTTTATTGCTTCTGCTCTTTCTGTACTAAAGTGAGTGCACTTTAGAGTAATAAACTTTGAGTCTGATTGAGTTAAAATAATACAATAGGACAGGCTCGGTTACAGTAGCGATTGCAATATAGTGGGTTAGCGTAACTGTAATGAGTCATTTTTTCATTGTTAATTACGGTTCTCATCTTTTGTAAATGAGGTTTAATACTGAGCATAAAGGTTGTACTCGAATTCAGTTGAATGGTATCGAGTACGAAAGGTAATGTATGCATCAAGTAATGAATAATTCGAGATAAGCATGCAAGTTGGCTAAAGTGTGCCAGATGAGAAAACGCTAAAAAAAATGTTAAGTGGAATGTTCAAGAACCCGAGAGAAAAACAGATTATTTAAACTTGGAATAAATGAGAAGATACAGTCTTGTTTTTGATGTTTAATCATATGGTGCTTGAAGAATGAGAATTTAGTGAATCTGCAGAGAAAGTGAATGTTAGATTGAGCAGCCGACCTGGGCAGAAAAACCTGGCTATCCAGTTTCATAAGAATGGCTGAGCTGGCATCTGCTGCAAGAAGTGTTTCTGTTCAAGTGTACGTTTGGTGGCTCCTGAAGTGTCTATGTTTGAAAGTGCTGTCTTTCATCATCCTGTTCAGGTAACGTTCATAACATTGATGCTTCTGTATGTGCCGATCTGGTTTCCTCTAGACTGAGGAAAGTTGTTGGGAACCAATAGGCATTTTGTATCTGATCAGCAATGTGGCATTTCCAGCATTTATTGTTTCATTTTCAAGATCATTTTGAACCATCTGTCAGTGTGCCTGAGAATGCTACATGTGACTAGAGCCTGAGGAGAGTCTTTGCAGTGACTCAGAAGTGGGACAGACGATGCCAAGAAATCTGTATTATGTGTAGAGCAACCAGTGCACATGGCAGTTATTTGGTACTCTGATAGTAAAGTCATTGTTTGGGGTCAGTATTTTCAAACATTCCTCAGTAATGGGATACCTACATTGAACTGTTTGTTTCAAATAGCTCATAACTATATTTTGTAAATAAGTTCATTTATTATCAGTTTAATGTCATTATTGTGAAGGTCTGTGTGAGTTTCTGATATCCAAAGAAAAATTATTTCTTCACTGTATTACTCTTTCCCTCCTCTCTCTCTCTCTCTCTCTCTCTCTCTCTCTCTCTCTCTCTCTCTCTCTCTCTCTCTTTCTCGTTCCCTCTGTATCTCTCCCCCTTCTCTGTGTGTGTCTCACTCATAGTTAGTGGCTTTAAAAAAAGATTGCCTCCGAATAGGTCATCTAAAAATTTTTCATTAACTCTGCAAAACTGGCTGAGCTATTAATTACTCAGTAACCAGTTCCACATTTTGGATTTACAGCAGTTGTGTGAACAACAAAATTAGTGACTGTGAAATCACCATTAGTGAATTGACAGTAATTAGCATGAATGCGCTAAGAAAATTACAGACAGGCAGAGCAGTTTAGTTTTCAAATTCTCTTACATATTCTCATAGATGTGATCTAGAATCTGAAGCTGTTGATTGTGTCTGACTGGAAGTCAAGCCATTAAACCAGAAATAACTTTTTAATTTGTTACCTGTATCGAAATCTTTGTGCAGCCAACAACTGGTGTGATGATTTCACTTCTATGATGGACAGCGTTTTTAGTCTAGGGAAGGAAATTGTACTTTTTGGTGATTTCAGCATTGACAGAAATAAACCCAACCAGAAATGGGGCAATATCATATTTGAACATAAAATGCTTTATTGATAAAATATAACTGCTGTGTTGAGTGCTTCCCCTGTTTGAATTTCGACATCACTGTGAACAGTATGGAGTACTGTTTTTGCTTCCTGTGAAATTCTGTATTTTCTTCCAAATTCTGTTAACTCTTGTTGCTAATGCAGTCATCTTAAGTTCCAAACTGTCTTATGCATATGTAAGTTTATTTCAAATCTTTTTTTTTTCTTTTTTAATTCTTCCATAAGAATTCTCCAAACTCAATTTTTCTTCGCCTGTGAGTTACAGTCCAACACATTTTTATCTGTACATTATTGTTTTCTGATTTTACCTTGTAGCAGTCCTGGATTTTTATGAATTATCTGTATCTTTTTTGTGTTGGTTGCTTTGTATTAAAGAAAGTATATTGCATTTGCATATGCCCTTCGACCCTTTTCTGCAGCTCTGCATCTGACAAAATGAACGGATTGCTATGAATTGTCATTTGAGACAGAGACAGAGCTTTTACACAACCAAGGTCAACATGAAACCAAGAAATACACAATTTAAAAAAAGGAACATGAAGGGATGGATATATTGAGAAACACATTATGTGTTAGTTTCTGTTGTTTTTTGTGAACTTACTAATTTCTATGCTATATTATACAGTTCTATATTTTCTAGCTGTTTTCTTCATTTTACATTTTATACTGTTGATAAATTAATAAATTATATAAACCTGTTTATTTCAGAAATTGTTTAGATTTCTTATCTAGTCATCTTCTTCAGCTCTGCATTTAGGAAAAATTGCTCATGCTAATGTTTATACTTATTCTTTTGTGTTTGTAAGAACTCATACAATTATTCATATATAAATGAATCCTATGTTTTTATATATGTATAGTTAGTTAGTCTTTCCTCTTGTGTCGAGTGCGGCACATAGGGCGGAGGTCGTGACTCTCCATGCACGGCGGTCCGTTGCAATCCCTTGTAGGTCTTGGATGTTTGAGTGGCCCATGAGCGAGCCTTCCCTGATGATAGTTCTACGTAGGGTTTCCCTTGGTCTTCCACGAGATCTTTTCCCTTGTGGTGTCCAAATGAGGGCTTGGTAAGGAAGTCTTGATTATATATGTATAGCTATATATATATATATATATATATATATATATATATATATATATATATATATATATATATATATATATATATATATATATATATATATATATATATGTTGGCTCTGTGGCTAAGTCGATGCGAACGCTTCGCTTTGTAATGCCGGGATGCCAGGTTCGATCCCAGCTGCGGGCAATGCGCCTTGCGTTGGTTTCGACAGTGGTATCAAGAAAGCCGACTATCCAGAAAGCAATGGCAAACTACTGGATGTTAATTGCCTAGAGAAACCACACAACAGCCAGGGGCTGTTAGGGATGGTTCTGCAACGTCCTGTAAAGGATACGCAACTAACTATATTTATATATATATGTCATCATCGTTCTTTGTGAACATTTAGACATCACATAGGGCTCGCATTTGATTCTTCCACTCCTCTCTACTGCCTCTCGATTTTTGACATGTTCAGCCCAGCATTTTTCTTAGTGGGCACTAAGAAAGAAGGTGTCAGACAATTTGGCATCATGGCATGTAGAATAGTCTGGGTGGACCTAAAATGATCGAAAGTACGCAAGTCAGAAAGTTGTGGAAAAATATGACTGCCAGTCCAATTTGGCAAGGACCATAGGAAAAAATTGTTTTTTTTTTTTTTAGGTCCGTCGCCTACTAGTAAGTTGGTGGAGTGACATGGAATTCAAGATTGGGTGTCATCTTATTTGTTGTACATATATTTGTCAGTTACAGCTTTGAGGTCAACCAGAGTTGTCAGTGTTATCCTAGACACGCACACAAACACACATGAATGTACACAACACCTCTAAAAGTGTCTTTGACTGTGTTGTCTTTATGTGCAATATATTCCAGTTATTTGATCATTTAAACAACTTTTATTTTCTATGCATTCTAAAACACTGAAGTTAGTTGATCTAATAAACAATGCTCAAATATTCCATTTATTTAGTTATTCAGACTATCTAAAATGTAACATGTTATCTAATCAGTTAAATAATGTTTATATACTTCTAATTATTATGGATTCAATTAAATTTCATCATTTACATTTTGAAGTATTCAGTGTTTTGATTCATATAACAATTTTCAGACTAAAAGATTGTTTGTATTATTTAAGCAATGTTGCAAAGCCAGTAATGGAACCAATTTTGCATCCATACTGTACACATTTTTAGCATAGTTTTATCATTTATAGCGCACGTCTTTTTGACTTATAAGTTTCTAGGAGGGTTCCCATATCTCCTTTGTTTTGTCACGGAAGCTCACCTTATGGGGGGGGGGGGGGGGGGGGGGGGGGGGTGTCTGTCTTTATTTTTATGCCCTTGAGTTTGAAGCTCTTCTAGTTATATTGTTCTTAGATTTTCTCAGAGTGTTTCCTGTCCAATACCAGTGACTTTTCCTCACCTTGATTCACTATAATTTTTTAGTTCGCTTCCAAAA